TCTTGGTGGTAAATTACGGTAAGGAAAAAAACTGCCGGCGTAATGTTCCATGTCATACTACTATCTTCCTATTCTGACTAGTGCAACACAAGAAAGTATCGGCCCAGGAACATACAATCCTGCTACCAAGCGCAATCCTCTCAAGGACGCTAATTTTATAATGATGCCGCACTACGTACGCTGCCTAGAGCAATAAGTCGTCATCAATTTGAGACTAATATTTCTAAGTCTTTTACAGACGGATCGCTTTGGACTTTCCAAGCCTAATGCTGGTTTTATTGAAGCTCGCTTTCGTCGCTTTGCGAATAATTCGGAGCCACCAGTGAACAAGCGAAATTGAGTTATGTAATAAAAAAAGTTATTACTCACAATATTGAGTGCTTTTAAGCTTATTTATATTCATCTATTTACTGGTGTCAAATATCGCACAGCTAAATTATGGCGAGAGAGCTCTGGAAGACTGCGCCAACGAAGGTCTTAAAGACTATCAAGCCTATCGTACACTATGGATTTGTGCCATTGATTGTGTACATTGCGCTCAGGCAGGAGCCAAACCTTACGTACGTTGTTCAAGTTGTCACCTCACTCGCGGTTTTAAGCTAATTTTGTTTACAGTCTGCTGCAGATTATCAACCCGTTAGCGGCTCCTGCTGAACCTTCCCAAGTATAATACGCTGGACAATGTTTACGTCGGACACAAGCATGTTTATTATACAGCTTTGATGGCTGATAGAACGTGATTAGTTCGGCAAAGATAACATTTGTGATCGATTGGGATCATGGGTATTACTTGATATGTTTTGATAACTTTTGTGCTCTCTCTTTTTCTTTTGTATCTTTCTAAACTTTTGTATCGCTTTGTTCATTCTCTCTGTCATTCTACTCGAGCACACGAAGAAATAAGATCATTAGAGAGCGATAATTCTAGCACTTCCAAATCCGACATGTGTTGTCCTTTGAGCCTGTGGGTAAAAGACATTATGGACGTGAATTTACGGAAACCAATGAAGCAAAAAAAATTGTTGCTATTGTACCTGTAATGACAGTGTCGCCTTCGTAATTGAACGCACAGCTGAAAATCTCGTCCGTATGGCCCTCCAGCATCTGTAGACAATCACCAGTTTCCACTTCCCACAACCGTGCGACTTTATCACTGCTGGCCGTAAGGACTTTCGAGCTTTGCGGGTTAAAGCAAACTTTTGAAATTTCAGCTTCGTGACCAATCAAGATAGCTTGACATGCACCCGTCATAGTGTTATAAATGCGTGACGTGCCATCTGCAGACGCTGTAACGAGTTTTGAGCCAGTGGCATTGAAACTCACGTCTAAGATTTCATCGTTATGACCTCGAAGGGTTTGTACATTTTGGCCAGAGGCAACATCCCAAATCTTACACGTTCGATCAATCGATCCACTGATGCAAAGGTCACCTGTGTAATTAAATTGCGTGCTTGAAATCTCACCGTGATGACCTGCAAGAGTATGAATGCAACGGCCACTTCGAACGTCCCACACTTTGACAGTATGGTCGAAAGAACCCGTGATGATACGCTCACCCTGAGTGTCAAAGTTGAGACTCACGATTTCAGCAGTGTGTCCAAACAAAGTATGTAACTCCTGCCCGGTTTCAACATCCCAAAGCTTTGCTGTGTTATCCATTGAGCCCGTTCCAATGACGGTCCCTTGTGGATTAAAAGCCAGACAAACAATCTCCGTCGAATGCCCTCGAAACGTGTGGTAAAGCTGTCCAGATTCGGCATTCCAGAGCTTGCATGTTTTGTCAAACGAACCTGTGATAATTTTGTCACTAGAGCAGAAGT